CAGCAAAAGAGAACAAGCTGTGACATGGAGATTGGATTTAACTATTCCCATGTTGACCCAATTCAATCACAAGAGCCTTCTATTTGTGTATAACGACCAAAGCGGGGCTTATTAGAAATAAACTTGAAACTTACTAGTCTGTTGCATTGTTTAAACAGAATGAAAAGCTTAACATAACAATATAAACATCGAAAAGTAAATTAGCATTATAAAAATGATTTCAATAATCTCAGGAGGCCTTTACAGCAATACATCTTCAAGAGTGGGTAAGGACCTGATGTCCTGGGATGGGAGTCGTGCACTGTATCAACCTATTTAATTTACGCTGAATCCAACTGGCATGCAAAGGAAAGTAAAAACAAAGGCAATGGTTCAAATAATGGCAGTAGCAAACTGTCTGTGGATATGTATATACTATGTGATAAGGTCAAATTTATTAAGATCAATTTCTTACCACCCAATTTTGTAAAGTCGAAGGTCCATGTCCCCACTGTGCACAAGAATTCAACAGAGTTCAAAGCAGAGTAGAGTGATGCTCTGTAGATAGCTATCCTGCAGTGCTTGCACCACTTTGCATTCTGTGTTATGCTCCTAGTGCTCAGTGGGACCAAAACTGTGCAGCAGGTGGTTCTGGGTTCATGTCGTCAGTGTCGCATAATGTGCTTGTCAACTCCCTCCCCGCTTGCTTGAGATCAATGGGAAACAGTCTTTTGGGGCCCTTTTTGGACCCCCTTGTGAATCCCATTGTGCATCAAAGCACTGTGATGATGATGTTCACCTTGGTGCAACTAATGGTGGAGTATGTTGAGAGCATATGCATGGCATTCCAGGAAGAGGACAAGGATGAATCTCAGGGGGCCTTGGACATGCTATCCCCTGAGATGAGCCAATTGGAAACACCACTGGCACTTGATCCTTTGTAACACTGGTTCTGGTGCCATCAGACTAGCCAGACTGGTGGGACTGTACAGTGCTCCAGGTGTGGGACAATCAGCAGTGGCTGCAAAACTTCTGAATGCACAAAGCCACTTTCATGGAACTTTGTAAATGGCTTTCCCATGCCCTGAAGTGCAGGGACACCCGAATGAGACCTGCCCTGACAATGGAGAAGCGTGTGGCAATTGCCCAGTGGAAGCTTGCAATGGCAGACAGTTACCAGTCAGTTGGGAATTAATTCAGAATGGGGAAATCTACAGTAGTGGCTGCTGTTATACAAGTAGTCAAAGCAAACAATACCATTCTGCTATGGAGGGCAGTGACTCTGGAAAATGTGCATGCCACAGTTGGAGGGCTTTGCTGCAATGGGATTCCCTAACTGCGAGGGGATGATAGACAAAACGCATATCCTTATCTTGGCCCTGATTATATTGCCAAGGAGTGCATAAATCTACTGCTCAATGGTGCTGTGAGAGCTGGTGGATCACAAGGGCTGTTTCACAGACATCAAAAACCCAGTTTAACCCTTGTTCCCATGGCTCCTATGGCTCATAGGCAGCCTGGACTGCAGTAAGGAGCAGTTCAGCTATAGACTGAGCGGTGCAGAATGGTGGTGAAATGTGCTTTTGGATATTTAAGAGGAAAGTTTAGAAGTGTACTGACTAGGCCTGACTTCAGCTAACTCAGTTTTCCCTTTGTGATGGCAACCGTCTGTGTGCTCATTAATATTTGTGAGAGCAAGAGGGACCCTCAGGGGAATCAGAAATGTGAGAAGGACAGACTTTTTGCTTCACAATGCCCTATAAGTTGAATGTGAGGCTGCCCTTGAGTTCCCTTTCCCCCATGTCCTAGGACCTCTGAGCATGGAGGCTACGGAACTGGGTGAGGAGGGAAAGTTGTTCTGCTAGGTACGCCACCATGTGCTCCATCACTGATGTCAGGGTCAACAAGATGACCCCACCTGGTGCTGTACTTGTAGTTCCCTGCACACTCTCCTATCCTGCCACTCCACTGTCCTTTCCTGCTGCTCTGCTTGCATCTCCTCCAGTAGCATATTCCTCCACTCTGTTTGCTCCTTGAACATGTCTTCCCTCGTCCTTTTGCGCCTGTGGATTTGTGTGAGCCAGACAGCTGGTGGAGACAAGTGAATATGCAGCAAGCTCCCTGCTATTCCTGCTCTAATGAAAAGTTACAAGGGCACACATTACAGGAGATGCATTGTGGAGCCTAAAACCTAATCTGTTAACATACAGCGAAGGTCTCTCTAAAGACAATGGAGACATGTTCTGTGCAAGGCCAAAGCCGTGCTTTAAAGCAGCCACTGTACAGTAGGTATACAACACAGTTCTCAAGGGAACATCTGGATTCACAGTTTGGAGCAAGACATGGTAAGGGGCCTGCCAGGACACTATCCTGTGGGCAGGAGGGAGAACAGAGTCAGATCCTGCAAGTGGGGCAGGGTGGAGGGTCACACAGCATCCTCCTCTGTGTCTGCAACATCCCACTTCCCAGGAAAGTGCTACTTTCCCATCCCACAGGAGCCTGAGAGCAGGGAGGAAGGAGGGGGTACCAGAGGCTGATATCATGGTAGCAGCAGAGGCAGCAGCAAATAGCTTCCCTCTTTCATCCAGGTTGCCTGTGAGGTATCACTCTTCTCTGAATCACACAGAGTGATAAAGAGCTAATACTGAGTGAATGTGGCCAGAATATAATATCCTGGGCCTTATATTGCAATGCTTTTTGCTGCAATGATATTTACGGGTGGTTTGGTGTGGGAAGGATCTGACTGTGGAGGATGAAATAAAGCAGGCCTCCCCAGAAACCTTGTAAGAAGGATCAAATATTTTCTCTGTGAGAGCTTCATGGAGATGTGCAGGGAAGATTCCCGCTCCATCTCAGACATGTTAACAAGTTATTGTGTGTCACTCACACTGTGTGTGGGCACAGAGTACACCAGGCTTTACACCCAATTGCCTTAACCAACTTGTAGGAAGAAAAAAACCGTGAGCTCTCTAGAAGTGCCCTCCCTGGGATTAATGCCTGACTGTGAGATGTCCTGGGAGGAGAGGATTGTCTTGAAGGTTATAAAATGTTCTTGGCTCTGGCCACTTGGTGGCTGACCATTCTTCTCCTCCTCTTCTTCCTCCATCACATAGTGTTCCACGCTGCTGCCCTGATGAGTGACTTGAGAGGATTCCACAGTCTGGCTTGGGAAGCTGGTCAGGTCTCCTGCTAGGATTACGTGCAGTTGGTTATAGAAGCGGCATGTTTGTGGCAATGCACCCGCCTGTCCATTTGTCTCCTTTGTCTTCTGGTAGGATTGCCTCAGCTCCTTTATTTTAACATGAGACTGCTGGGTGTCCCTGGTGTATCCTTTATCCACCATGGACTTTCCAATCTTCTCATAGATATCATTTGCTGGTTTGGAGCTCAACAAGAATGGATTCCTCTTCCCACACCTTTATGAGATCCAAAATCTCCTTCATACCCCATGCTGGTGCTTATCTTTGCTCCTGGAAACTGGAGCTCATAAAGCTCTTGGGCAGGCCTAACCAAAGAGTTTGTGAGGCCCAAAGCAGCGTGGCTGAGCCACGTGGCTCCCAGTCAGGACAGCGAGTGAGCAGCTAGGTGGGTGGGGCAAGGAACCCAAGGCACAGGGGCCCAAGGCAATTGCCTCACTTGCCTTGCCCGAAGGCTAGACCTGCTCTTGGGACTTGAATTCATGGCCACGTGTGCTGCTTAGGTGTGCTGCTTGCTCTGAGGTGTGCTCACAATGCCTGTCACACAGCAAATGAAATTAAATTTTTCCTGTCTGAGGTGTGCTCTGAGGTGTGCTCACAGCAAATGAAATTAAATTTTTCCTGGGGCTTTCCTGTTCACCTGGAGACACTGTGGCATGCTTCCCAGAGGCCAAGAATATCAACTTTCACAATGCTGATTCAACACTACCATAAAGCTTACCACACCAGGTTGAATTTAGCATTACTCCTCATGAAAAGCAGGAGTAACTAAATCAACATTAATGTTGGTTGATCAGGCTTGGTAGTGACTCATTTAGAAAATGGACCTTATGCAGCTAAATTTGACCTAAATTCCCAGTATAGACTAAGCCTAAGAGCATGGTAAACTCACCTGGAATAGCAAAATGGTAGTTATGTTAATATGTAAATATTTAATACCCTTCTTATTGGGTTTCCAAGGGAAACTATACAGACCAATGAGTTGTGATCCTGTGTTAAACACTGTTTTACTCTGCTCACAACTAAAATATGCTTTATGCCAAACTGTGCCATTTCAGGAATATAAAAAAAAACCAGAGGGGATAAAATTCAAGCAGCTATAACTCGCACTGAGTTATTTGGCAAGTAGCAAAAATAGATAAGTTTAGTGGCATTATGAATCAACAGAGGGATGGTCAAAAATTTGTAGATGGGGTCAGTTTTAAAGGACTCTTTTAAACATCTATAATGACAAATGATATAGGCATTGATGGGCACTACTGGGGAAGATAAAACCACCCATTTAAAAACAAGCTTTACATCTTCCACATTTTTGTTTCCACTTCTATTAACAAATAGTTATGTGAAAATATTGAAAATGAGGTTAAATATACCTTACTCAACATCAAATGCTTTCTTTTGTAAATCCTGAATATGTAGACATCACATTGTGCAAAAACATACATTATTATGCAAAATTATGCAAACATACATTATTGTGCAAAACATTCATTATGCAAACATGCATAATTGTGCCAAAAACATACATTAAAACACAACTCTCAAAAACTCTAGATTAAATTTTAAAAGAATAAAATAACTTGGAATAAAGTCAATCCTAGTCTGTTTAGAAAATAGTTGTGCTACTTTTTCACAACCAGGCTCCCTCTTGCCTTTTTCACAAGCAGAACAGCTCACCAGTCCACCTGGGAGGATGCTTTTTTGTTTACATCTCAGGTTGCTAAGCTCACTACTATTGGTGTTTTTTTTCTAAAAGGGAGGGGTCCGAATGAAATGAGAGGCTGGGGATGCTGCCCCCTATCACATGATGGAAATTTCCACTCTTTAGAAAGCAGGAAAGAAAAGAAAGCGAGGGTCTCAATCCACACTTTTTAACACTCCTCCTAGGGTCATACCATTTTCACTTGTGCTTCATCCTAAAAGAATTTGCAAAACCAAGGTGGGTAATTCTAGCTCTTTGAATACAATTCTAAGTGATGCCTAAGACGGAGAAAGCTAGTTAAATACGAATTTAGCTATTTATATATACGGCTCTACAGGTATCTCTTACTACAGGGTTTAACACACCGTCATATCTGCGTGTGAGAATAGTCTACATTAATACTTGGCAGAGTGGCTGTTTTTAACATGTTGGCTTTCACCATTTCAAATGAGCCCGCTTTGAGTGGATTGAAGTGTAATGATCGTATTAACATGCGGCACGGCACAAACTAGAGAGCGTGCATGGGGACGGCTTTTTATTGCATGTGTGGGCGTTTGCATTGCAACAGGGAGCCCGGTTCTTGGAACTGCAAACGCAATTCAACGATTTGTGTCTTAGTCATGGTTTCATTGCGCTACTTTATCGTTGTGTGCATGCAGAGCACATTGCTAGTGTGGGAGGGAAGTTATTCCGAGGTCTGCAGAGTGCACGGAGGGTGTCGTGCAGCAGCTGGGGGGCTTTGGAGGGGGGTGCTAGGAAGGGTGGCAGAATGTATTAAAAGCGCGGTTTGCATACTGTGCTGGGAGAGTGGTGGCGGGGCGGGGGGGTGTTGAGTGCAATATGGCAATAGGGTGCGGGTTGCACCCCACTGAAAGGACGGCAGGCTTCCACGGGGAGAGGGTTACACAAGCTCGGATTGCAAGTGGGGGTTGGGGAGAGTGGCCCTCCGCCGGGGGATGTGTTACAAGGGGTTAGTGAATTCGGGGAGGGGCGGGAATTCACAGTGCCCGAGCTAGAGGGGGCAGAAGAGGAAGGAGGCTGAGATGCGAGTTGCTAGATAGGAAGGGGTGTAGAAGTTGCACGTCTATGCAGCCTGGAATAGAAGAGAAAACTCCTGCCACGTTCCGCGCTGAAACCAGAGACGTCCCCCTACTACCAGAGCAGCTGCTGTGCCCGTGCCTGGGAGGGAAGGACCCCGCCTGCCCGAGCTCTCGCTGACGCTGGTGACCAGGTGTGTTCAGGCTGAGCAGCTCCCTGGCTGAAGCCAGCTGCCCTGGAT